TTTTCGTCCTTTTTCTAACAGAGGTGTTAAGTGACTGTTTAATGTAAGGGTAATTCTGTCCAAACACATTTAGGCTCATTATTAATTTAATATTTCCCTAATTATACTCTTTCCCTAATTATACTCTTGTACTCTTGCGTAGACTGGGTCATTTCTTTTATCATTTTTTCATATTTTAAACATGCAAAATTTATGATGTTAAAAATTGTTTTTGAGATGCTCCGGCTTGTAAGTACACAAAAATTTTAAAACAACACTCAAGACTTTCAATAAATATAATATTGATTTCTTTCAATATATTGAAATGTTGGTAGTTTTCAACACAAAAGACTTTCAAAATTAAAGTGATTCACAAAAATCATTCCAGAACTTACCTATTAACTACTTAGCTTGTATTAAATATTGGTTGCATTACAAAAAATAAAAATAAAAAATTCAAGATCTAAGCAGCATTCAAAAAGCCTTCTAAACCTACATACTAATTGATGCTATAAAGCATCATCTTCATTTATGTTGTTTGGTCTTTCTTGGTGCACAACCTTGACTCAATTTTCTTTTTCTTGGTGACTTTCCAACTGTCTGTGATGGAGTTGTTTCTCTATGTATCTGTGTGCATTGGGGACCAAGGAGTTATGTTCTGCAAACAAGGAATTAGATAATTGTAGTGCATTGAAAATCAAAGTTTTTGCAAATTTACATATTATCTTTAAAGAAAAAGAAAAATTTAAGAGTATTGACCAACCAATTCATCCTGCAAAGCATTAGAGATTATCATTTCAATGACATTATCATTTGGAACAAACCATGCAACAGCACCAGGGGGCTGGACTTAAACATTAGCAACTTCAACAGCAAGTGGTTCAACTTCAGCAGCTATATTAGCCACAGGGTGTTCAACTTCAACTTCAGTAGCAACAGGGTGTTCAACTTCAACTTCGGCAGGGGGTTCAACATCATTTTGCCTCTATTGAGAAAGTGTAATAAATGATAATGAAATTGTCGATATAGAAAACATAATGTAAAGACAAATACAAGTGTAATTACCTGGTTTTTGCAGCTACGCTTGTTATGGCCATATTGTCCACAAATTGAACACTTCTTTTTCTCACCCTTTCTTGATAACTTGCTAATTAGCTTATCACCCACAACAGATTCATTCTCAATAGGATCTCTCTTCCTTAGTTTTTTTGGTCTGCCTGGTTGCACTTTATACTTGGGTGGTAGTGGTGGTTTTTGGCCAGTTTTTGTCCATAAATCTGAGGGATGAATTGGCATTATTGCTGGTTTATAACTCCTCATATATGCTTCCACAGTATAGCAATGATGGACATAATCTTCAGGTACTTCCCCTTTTGTTCTAATTGCTGCAATGGCATGACTACAAGGGATTCCATTAAGATCCCACCTCCTACAACTGCAACATCTTTGATTCAAATTTACCTTGTAAGTCTTAAAAAAGCCAGAAATGTCTTCAACTTGGTAGTTGTCATCATTTGCTTTGTATGCTATCAAATCACCAGTGTGTGCCTTGTTTTGTTCAAGAATTTTTATGATTTTAGGGCATATTTTCATTACACTTCCCTTCATTTTGTCTCTGTTCTTCTGCATCCTAGACATTAGGTAAATTCTCAAGCTCTCACACATTGTTAGTATGTACTTATCCCTTGCATGACGAATGGAGCTGTTAAATGACTCACACAAATTATTCAGCAGCATGTCAGACTTTAGATAATCAGAAAAATATGCCCTACAAAAGTGTCTTGGTTCCCTATCTAATATCCATTGGGCAGCTTTTGGATTTAATAATCTCAAACCTTCCAAGTGCTTTTGAAATTCACTTTCTGTAGTTGATCTACAAGCAGCCCAAAAATTCTGCTTCATGACTTGACCACCATATCCATCCTTGCTGAAATTAGCATGGAGATGCCTCACACAATGCCTATGTTCTATATATGGAAATAACTCTTCAAAAGCAGGTACTAATCCCTTTTGTTTATCAGAAATAAAGGTCCATCCAATGGGGTTTTGAGAAATATGAAGATCACCATCTAATAACTCAAGAAACCACTTCCAAGTTTCGTTTAACTCACCTTCAACCACAGCAAATGCAATTGGGTACATGTTGTTATTAGCATCTACTCCAACTGCACTTAATAATTGTCCTCCCTTTTGATTTCCCTTCAAATGGCATCCATCTACACCAATTAAGGGCCTACATCCATTTAAAAACCCTTCTTTACATGCACCATAACATATATACAGCCTCTTGAATCTACTCCTACCCTCCATTGAATAAGTGTTGTCCAAAATTAACTTCACAGTAGTGCCAGGGTTAGTTTTCTTAAGTTCTTCACAATAATCCGACAACAAATTATACTGATGATTTTGAGAACCAGTTACTAGCAACTTTGCCTTTTGCTTGGCCCTAAATGACTGAAATTTTGAAATATTGCATCTAAACTTTTTCTTCACATGCCTTTGGAATTGAACTCTGCCCCATTCCTCATTTAATTTGAATTCATCCTTATAATATTTGGCAAGAAATCCAGATTTAATCAGTTGATTGTCATGTTGTTCACCACAACTATGATTGAGCCTATATGTTTTAATGGTAAAAGGACAATTTTCATTGCTCCTAGAACCAAATATAACCCAGTCACAATTTACATCCCTACACTTTGCTCTAACTCTCCTAGGCTCATTCTTCACAAAGTAGACATCCTTTTTTCTCAATGCTTCATACCTTTCAACTGCCCACTTAAACTCCTTGTTATCTTTAAAAATCATTCCTTCTTGAAATTGAAAATCCTCCAAGTTGAATTTTGATTCACTAAAAACTAAACTAGAATTACTCCCTTCCTCCACATCAGAATTTGAACTAATACTCCTTAATTCATCTTCAGAATCAACACAATCTACTTCATTTATTTGGGCAATTGAACTACCAAATTCCTCTACAACATTTGTAGCTGCACTATCAGCAACATTACCATGTTCATCTTCACTTGAAAACTGAGAATCATCAAATTCACCATCTAATGATGTTGATTTTTCATTCTCAGAATTACAGTTACCCCCTTCACCACTATGTCCTTCATGTGAATCTAACAAACCAAAAGTCTCGGTTAAAAAAAAAAACAAACAAACAAACCAAAATATATTTTACAATTAAACAAGTACAACACTAATCAACATTAAATAATGAAGACAAACAAAGAATAACAAATATACTATTCTGGTTTTATTCATACGTGGATCCAATATTTTTTTGATTACATAAACTAATTCATAAAAATTTCAAAACCCTAAACATGAAACTATTAAACAAATAACAAGAACTAATATTTTACCCAACAATCAATTAAACAAATACACAAATTTTTCAATTATATAAACTATTTGTAAAATATTTAGAATCTAAATGCAAAACAATTAAACAAATATGGAGTAACATGAACTAACATTTAACCCAACAAGCAAACAAACAAAAACTAAGCCCTAAACATTAAAACAAAATAACGAAATTAAAGAAAAATATGCCTTGCAAAATTAACGAGAAATTGAATTGCTTAAACCTTCGAAAATTAACAAAGGGGAAGAACTTACACGGTAGAGTTCCCTTCCAGCCAAGTAATCGCCGATTAATCATCGAGAAATTTTTAGAATGCTTCATCTCTTGACCATCAATTTTGTGTGTTTGAAATATGAAAAAATAGTAGCGTGAACTGTGAAGTGGAAGAGTCAGTGTTGAAAACCTACGCAAGAGTATAATTAGGGAAATATTAAATTAATAATGAGCCTAAATGTGTTTGGACAGAATTACCCTTACATTAAACAGTCACTTAACACCTTTGTTAGAAAAAGGACGAAAATTGCATCATAGCTTATAACTTAGGGATGAAAAGTGGGTATTTACAACACTTAGGGACGAATCCTACAATTACCCTATAACTTAGGGACGAAAAATGCACTTTTCCCTTAAAAAAACATATATATTTTAAGAATAGGGAAAATAGCACTTTTTACCCCTGAGTTATATACTTATAGCACTTTTTCCCCCTCAATTATTTAGGTAAGCATATTAGCCCCCTCAATTATTCTAAAAGTGGTGTTTTTTCTCCGTGATATATTAAATTGACATTTATACCCTTAAAGTAAACATTTTATTTATTTTACTACTCCAACAAATTATTGCGTATACGTAGGGATGACCACGGTTCGGTTTAAATTGAACCGGACACTAAAGCAATCGAATTAATAGTTTCCGGTTATAATTCAGATCTAGAATCCAATATTTAAATGTCAATTTATTAAAATTATGTATCAAAAAAATTGAATCTTGAACCGTGAACCGGCGGTTCCGTATCCGATTCGCGATTTTGAACCGTCTTTATTTTAAAATTTAATTTTTATTTTAAAATAGTCTAAATTCAACAATAAATGTATTTTATTTTTTCAGTTCGAAACATGAACCGTCCGTTCCGGTTCACGATTTTAATAAACTCTAAATATCGAATTTCGATTCTAAATTGTAATTGGAATATTTCGGTTTGGTTGCTATAGTGTTTGTTTGGTTTGAACCAAATTATGGTCATAATTTGTTGGAGAAAAAAATAAATTAAATATTTAGTTTAAGGGTAAATATGTCCATTTAATATTTCAGGGGGAAAAACAGCCACTTCAATAATTTAGAGAAAAAAATACTATAAATATATAACTCATGGAGAAAAAGTGTCATTTTCCGTTAAGAATATATATACTTTATTTATGTTAGGCACTACTGATAAGATATCATTGCGACGATACTTTTCCTCAAATGGGTGGTGAAGGTCAAAGGTGATCTATCGGTAATGGGCTAATGGCGGACGCTAATAACTCGCTAATTAGTTTCCTCATTTGACTCAAAATCGCACATTGTATCAACCACAAAAACTTCATATAAATACCCTCCATCTCTACCTTCTTCTCCCACAAACAAAGCGACCAAATCAACAATAAGTTAAAGAAAATAAAAGAATCAAGATCCATGGCCTCCATGAAATTCTCATCGGTCTTGGTTCTTTTATTGGCTTGCATTCTTTCCTTCGAGGGTGTTCTTGCGGATATTATTTGCGAGAATTTGCCCATAAATGCTTGCGCATTTTCTGTCTCATCCAATGGAAAGAGATGTGTTTTAGAAAACTCGATAAAGGATAACGGCAAGGTGGAGTATGAATGCAAGACGTCAGATGTGGTGGTGGGAAGTAGCATTGCAGAATACTCAGAGACCGACGAGTGCGTAAAAGCATGCGGTGTTGGTCGGAAATCTGTTGGCATGTCGTCGGATGGGTTGCTTGACCCAACTTTCACAGCCAAACTTTGTTCCCCAGAATGTTACAACAATTGCCCCAACATTGTAGACCTGTATTTCAACTTGGCCGCGGGTGAAGGAGCCTACTTGCCTGACTTATGCGAGAAGAAGCAAAAAGAAGTCAGCCCTGCAAGGCGTGACATGATTCAGCTTGAGAGTGATGGTGATGTTGATAGTGCTGCGGCCTCACCTGATGCCGATGTTGAATGGTTGGTTCAGAGTCCTGATGCCGAGTGGACCAGTCCTCGGCGTAACATGATTCAACTTCAAAGTGATAGTGCTGCGGCCTCACCTGTAGCAGATGCTCCTACACAGTGGAAGAACAACCGTCGTGCTATAATTGAGCTTTTGAGCAGTGGCGGCGATGATTTTGATGTTGATACACCAGCACCATCTCCTTCTTATTTTTAAAGGCTATTCATGTATTAATTATATACAATCTTATATTAGATGGGGTGGGAAGGAAAGAGATTCTTATCTCAATTTGGTTGAAGTTTGAGATATTTCTCTCAACAAAATGTCAATAATATAATATTTATTATTATTCCTTTTATCTCACTTCCCTTCAATTGTTACGTTTTACGGTTGTCCCGACGTCCGGCTACCTCGTGGTCGTGAAACCAACACCGTATGTCTCGAAACGTAACCATTGATCATGGCTCGCACTCGCTGGAGTCGTTGCAGCCACCCAAGTTGGGGACCTGCGAGAACACTTGAGTCGTCCAGAGAACACGCCGTCCAAATTCTGGCGAACCAGCAATGAGCACCCTGTATGACGGATCGCTAGGGGTTAGTAAAAATCGATATCGCTAGGGGTTAGTAAAAATCGATTGTTAGGGCCATTCATCGCCCTTCTAATTTGAGATCTTATCTTATAATAAGGCACCAACGGATTTCAAACTGCCTGAGCACCGATCGTATGACATAAGGCACCAACGGATTTCAAACTGCCCGAGCACCCATCGTATGACGGATCAAGGGACCCACGCAACCACGGATGCAGGTGGTCGAGGCCGAAGACCCACCACCTGTTGAGAATTGGCGGAGATTCTTTCCAAGTTCAGTCACAAGATTTTCTTTTTCATATTAGGAAGTTAATATAGAAGTTTAGAAGATTTCTTAAGTTCAATTTTGGTATATTCTTCCTACTTTCCTTTCTCAATGGCCAATTTATCTTGTATAAACACCCCATGGATCATATTATAAGGGGTTATGAATTCAATACAAGCATCATTACTCTGTCCGGCCACATCCTAACATTAGCGTCATCTGTAGGGACTGATATAAAAGACTCTATTTCTAAACTTTGCTAATGGCACACACTAGACATAGTAGACGTTTTAGAAACGCCATTGTCAGCACCGGAGCATGCGCTGCCGCCAACCGCTCTTCCGTGGGAGATCTTCGAGAACAGCTGAGCCACCCTGTTAGATATATTAAATATAATATATTTAATATAATATATATTAAATATAATATAATATATTTATAATATATATTAAATATAATATATCTATATATTATATTTATATATATTGAGAAGAGAGAGAGAGAGGAATAGATAATTTTATTGATGATAAAAGCTTGAATACAAAGACTATTTATACTAGATAAGATAACTCAAATGCTAAAATTAAGGAATTAATGCTCCATGTAAAGCTAACATCATGGCCATGTACTGCACCTATAATTACTCCCATTATTTTTTAACCAACTAACTCATCTTACTTGGTTTAATATAATAATAATAATATTATTATAACATTGCCTCCTTTAAACCAAGTTGGATATATTGGTCATCCCAATATCTCCTTCTTCAATTTAAGAAATGTCTCCGTCTTCAAGTTGGATATACGGACTTGTATTTCGTTCTGTAAACCCACTTTACTCCAATTGGCTTCTTCCCAAGAGGTACATCTGTTAACTCCCAGGTACCATTCTTCTCAATGGCACGTATCTCCTCATCCATCGCCTTAAGTCAATGAGTTTCTGTAGCAGCCTCCTCAAAAGATAAAGGATCACAATCTGCAAAAAGAGCAAATTGAATAATCTCTTCATCCGACAAGTCATTATCATGACCCAAAACATAATCTTGCAAGCGAGCTGGTAAGTGGCGCTCGCGCTGAGATCGCCGAACTGACGATTCTGGCTGTGAAGGAGACTGGACATTATCTGGAATCGGTTGCTCTTCAACAATATTTTCAACAGCAGGAATAACAACTGAACTTTCATCTTTAGCTAACCAATCCCAGGCACCATATTCATCAAAAGTGACATCACGACTTATAACAACCTTTTTAGTTTCAGGATTGTATAGTTTATAAGCCTTTGAAGCGTCACTATAACCAATGAATATGCATTTCTCACCTTTATCATCCAACTTCTTTCTCAATGGATCCGGCACGTGGGCATATGCCAAACATCCAAAAACCTTGATATATTTGATAGAGGGTTTTCTCCCACTCCAAGCTTCTTCGGGCGTCTTATCACGGACACTCTTAGTTGGACACCTATTCAACACATAGACAGCACAAGCAACAGCTTCTGCCCAAAAAGGTTTAGGCAGATCCTTGGATTTCAACATGCACCTCACCATATCCATGATTGACCTATTCTTCCTCTCAGCCACTCCGTTTTGTTGTGGAGTGTATCTAGCGGTCATTTGGTGCTGAATACCCTTTTCTTTCAGAAAATTATCACAAGCAATATATTCTGTACCTCTATCAGTTCTCAAGATTTTAACTTCATAACCACTTTGCTTTTCAACAAAAGCCTTAAATTGTTTGAAAACATCACATGCTTCAGACTTTTGCTTCAGAAAGTAAACCCATGTTTTCCTACTGAAATCATCAATGAAAGTAATAAAGTACTTACAACCTCCATGTGAGGGAACCTCCAACGAACACAGGTCTGAGTGAACAATCTCCAACTGTTTTGTAGCTCTCCTTGACTTGCCTACAGGGAAGGGATCTCTATGCTTCTTCCCAATCACACAAATCTCACATATACGATCAGGGACATTCACAACAGGTAAATCAGAAACAAGTTCCTTTCTCGCAAGATAGTGTAATCCAGAGAAATGGAAATGCCCAAATCGCATATGCCATAACCAATTTGCATCACAAACTTCAGAATTAAAGCAAGCAAGGAGAGTATGCTTAATTTTCAAAGGAAATAGTCGATTCTGAGACATATTTACCTTTGCAATCAAAACTCCTTTAGCATCAGCAATGGTACAACACCCCTGAGCAATATGTATCTTATATCCTTTTTCTGACAACTGACCCATACTCAACAAATTTTGGTGTAGTTCAGGAACATAGAACACATCGGATATAAAATTTTGAGTACCATCTTTCAACTGAATAGAGATTTTACCTTTTCCCAGAATTGGCACCTTTGACTTATTGCCAAATGTCACTTCAGACCGGACTGATTCATCCAGTTCAGAAAACAATTCTTTCTTCCCACACATATGGTTACTACACCCAGTATCCAAGAACCATATGTTCTTATCTGCAGAAAAACTATCGCTGGCTAAAAGTAAAGTTTCAGAACTCTCACCAGACTTTTCAGCAGTGTTTTCAGCAATGTTTGCTTGATTTCCATGATTGTTGTCCTCATTATACCAACAATCTGCAATCTTGTGCCCATACTTGCCACAATTGTAGCAATGAAATGGAAATTTACCTTGTTTGGTATTACCTCCACCTCTTCCTTGGTTGGAGTTACCACGACCTCTTCCACTAGAACCTCCTCTTCCTCTTCCACGACCTCTACCAGATCCTCCACCTCTTTGATTAGTGCCAGTCACATTAAGGGTGACTTGACTCTTCAAAGCTTCTTCTGCTAGTGGTTCCGATTTTGACGCAATCCTGTCAATATGACTTTCTACCATACCTTTCAGCTCTGCAATTGATAAGAGCTCGGTTTTGTGTGACTCTGTTATTGAAGCCACCACATGGTCATACTTCATCGGCATAGTTCGAAGAACTTTTTCAACCACTGCACCATCTTCAATCGTATCTCCATATAGCCTCATCTTATTCACCATATCAATAAGACGAGTGAAATACGCATCTACTGTTTCTGTAGAGGTCATCTCACAATTATCGTACAACCTTCTCAACGACTGCAACTTAGACTTCTGCGCCCGATCGACTCCTTTGTGTGACACCTTTAAGATGTCCCAAACTTGTTTTGCTGTTTGAGCACGAGCTAATTGCCCAAAAATGGAATAATGAACACCTTGGTGAATCTGACCCAAGGTCAATTTATCTCGCCGTATAGCGCCTGCATCAGCTCCTTCGGGTAGACCGGGATCAACAAAGCTCCAAAGATTTTGAGCTTGCAAATGTGTGGACATCATAATTTGCCAATAATTGTAATCGAGGTTCCCGTCCAATTTGGGACCCGACCATACAATATTGAAATTTGTGGCCATAATTCACTATGAAAAATACCTCAGGGTTGAAAGGTTGACTGGCTCTGATACCAAATGTTAGATATATTAAATATAATATATTTAATATAATATATATTAAATATAATATAATATATCTATAATATATATTAAATATAATAAATCTATATATTATATTTATATATATTGAGAAGAGAGAGAGAGAGGAATAGATAATTTTATTGATGATAAAAGCTTGAATACAAAGACTATTTATACTAGATAAGATAACTCAAATGCTAAAATTAAGGAATTAATGCTCCATGTAAAGCTAACATCATGGCCATGTACTGCACCTATAATTACTCCCATTATTTTTTAACCAACTAACTCATCTTACTTGGTTTAATATAATAATAATAATATTATTATAACACACCCTAACTCCGGTGAGAGGTTGGCAGCACGTACCACAGGTAATGTTGCTCCGTTTTAAACTTTGCTAATGGCACACACTTGACATAGTAGACGCTTTGGAAACGCCATTGTCAGCACCGGAGCATGCGCTGCCGCCAACCGCTCTTCCGTGGGAGATCTTCGAGAACAGCTGAGACACCCTAACTCCGGTGAGAGGTCGGCAGCACGTACCGCATGTAATGTTGCACCGCCTAATGAGGTGCCCGTTGAAGTCCCAACCCTCCGGTGATTCTGACTGTTCCGACCATCGCAGAAGTGATGGTTCACATGCTAGATGTGTATGTGCGTGAGAGGGGCTTGGCAGTTAACATTGATTGGCCACAACCTGCCTAATCAGTATCTTTGGAGCAGGAAGTGCTATATAATGTATATCTTGTATCCTCTCAATACATGCTTCATAATTTATATTAGACACAGGGTGACTAATAACGTAACTTCTAGTTTTTCAGTCTAACCAAACTACTTAATAAAATTAGTCAAACTTGCACCACATAATTAAGGTCCTAATATATAACATATATTATACGAGAAAAATCAACATAAAACTTATGCACTTTGTAGCATAAATCAACACCTAAACTTGAAAATTGTTCTGGACCAGATCAAAGATTGATTTGGCGTTGATTTGGAAAAATCAATGGCTGCAATCCATTTTTTACATGGGCGTATCTTTTTATTTGATTATTTACATGGGCACCTCTTATATATATATATATATATATATATATATATATATATATATATATGAGAGAGAGAGAAATATTGGCTGCCTAATCTTTGCATTATTATTGCCACTATAAGTTCAGCTCATTTTGCATGCCAACTACAATTAATAAGTTAAAATTAAATGGTTTTATTTTAATGGTAGAAAAATATGCTGTTGCAGACAAAATTACAAGAAATATATATAATAATTGGAGACATTATTGTCAACAACTTAAAATTTATTCCAAATCTTTCTACGAGCACTCATGGTTATAAGATTATCGTATACACCATTGAGTCACCGTGATTTACATCCTCCCACATGCTCGAAGTGTGGGGGGCCCTTAGAGTTGGGGATTCAACCTTTTTAGGAGAAGATTATCACATATATCCAATATAGGTCAGGCCAGTTTGAAAACATAGTTAACTACTTAGCTTGTCAGTTAACTTAGGCTTATTTAACTACTATTAGTTGTTTGACTTTAATTTGTTAAATTAACAATCAATATAAATGTTGGATTACTGATTAACTTTTATAGCAGCTTTTTCGACTAGTTTTTTATGTAATGATAAATTTTAGCAATTTACTGAGATCATAAAGCAAATTAAAATGCATGCGGAGCGTTATGCTGTGCAACCGTGTGCACCATGCATGTTGCATACCATTGCAAAAACGACATCGTGGTGTCCGACTTAAAAAAAAAAAAAAAAATCAGTTATGTTGTGCATAATTTAAACTATATAAATGAGTAAAAGATATTTTTGGTCCTAGACTTATAGTGGCTTGGACAATTTTAGTCCTTTATAAAAAAATTTGCCATTTTATGGACAGAGTTATTGTGGCGAGGACATTTTTGGTCCTCCGTTTATATTTCTGTTAGATAACCGTATGAGAGAGGGGCAATTACGTCAATTTAGGCTATCTCCTTCTATCTATTATATCTAGTGTTTGGCGGCTTCGATTCTCCTTTTATCTATTTGATTAGTAACCTGTTTGGCGGCTTCGATTCTCCGGCAATTTCTTCGTACAACTGCAACTTGGACTCTCCGACTCCTTCGAATTATGACCGAGAAGAAAACAAAACACACATAGATATAATAGATAGAAGGAGATAGCCTAAATTGACGTAATTACCCCTCTCTCAGATGGTTATCTAACAGAAATATAGACGGAGGATCAAAAATGTCCTTGCCACAATAACTCGGTCCATAAAATGACAAATTTTTTTTATAAAAGACTAAAATTGTCCAAGCCACTATAAATTTAGGACTAAAAACATCTTTTACTCCTATATAATTCATGCATTTTGGATATCTAGTTCATTCATTCTGGATATATAATTCATATTATGCAAAACATAACACGTTAACGACAATTAACATTGATTTTTTCTTTTAAAGTCACGCGTCATTTTTGGTGCATACAATTGCACGGCATAATTTGCGCATGCATGCAGTGTTGATCTATTGAGTGATCTATATATAGAATTGAAAGGCTCACATTGCACTTTAATTTGCTTGTGTAAGATTATTGCTACCGACTTGCCGACTATGAAGTAACAAAGCCATTCTTAATACACTTTGTAAAAGGCATGCAAAAGGAGTATATTATTGATGTTCTGTTGAGATAAAAATCTCAAACTAGCTTCAAAACCAAAATATGATAAGAATCTCTTTCCTTCCCCATCTAATATAATCAAAAATAAGAGGGAGATGGTGCTGGTGCATCAACATCAAAATCATCACTAGAAACGCCGCCACTGCTCAAAAACTCAATCATAGCACGCCGGGTGTTCTTCAACTGTGTAGGACCATCTGCATCGGGATACCAATCAGCATCGGCATACCACTCAGCACTATCGGAATCAAGCGTGGCAGCACCGTCGCTCTGAAGCTGAATCATGCCACGACGTGGGCTCACTTTTTGCTGCTTCTCGCATAAGTCAGGCAAGTAGGCTCCTTCAGCCGCGGCCATGCTGAAATACAGGTCTACAATGTTGGGGCAATTATTGTAACATTTTGGGGAACAAAGTTTGGCCGTGAAAGTTGGGTCTAGCAACCCGTCCGACGACATGCCAACAGTTTTCCGACCAACGCCGCATGCTTTCACGCAGTTATCAGTCTCTAAGTTTTCCGCCATGCTGGTCCCGACCGCCACCTCCGACGTCTTGCATTCATACTCCACCTTGCCGTTATCCTTTATCGAGTTCTCTAACACACATCTCTTTCCGATGGATGAGACGGAAAATGCGCAGGCATTTATGGGTAAATTCTCGCAAATAATATCAGCGAGAACGGAATCCTGGAGGGAAAGAGTGCAAGCCAATAAAAGAACCAAGACCACCGATGAGAATTCCATGGAGGCCATGGATCGATCTTGATTCTTTTATTTTCTTTAACTTATTATTTCTTTGGTCTCTCGCTTTGTTTGAAGTGGAAATGAAGGCCGGCTATTTATATCAAGTTTTTGTGGCTCACAAAATGTGTGATTCATCGTCAAATGAGGAAAGTTACGTTATTTAGCAAGTCATCAGTGTCCGCCATTTTTCAAGGGACGAGAATTATTGAATTAAAATCATTAATACAAATACAAATACCGAACACCATTCAACACGTACAGTCATCATCATCCATGCGGTCATGTGGCTTAATCTGCATTGTCCGATCATTTGAATCCAAAGGTTCGGGACAATCTCAATGCACCATGTATCACTTAAAAATGCATCACACAACACTAAAAAATGCACCACAGAACACTCAAAAATACACCACACACTAGCATCTAATATTGTAATACACCTCGTTGACAGGTCTATTGAACCCGTCAACGGGTTTGACACCCCCGTTGAGTGGACTAATACAAATCGATGCCCAATTAATCACTCAAAAATACACCACAGAACACTCAAATATGCACCACACACTAGCACGTAATGCACCCAGATAACGGGTCTATTGAACTTGTCGACGAGTTTGACAACCCCGTTGAGTGGTGTAATACAAATCAATGCACCACAGAGTACTTTAAAATGCACCACACACTAGCACATAATGCACCGTCGAAATATACATGGTGCAAGAAATTACGAAATTGCCACTGCGTAATTTCTCTTCTTCATTGATTTCCCTCCGTTTGATATCAGCTCATCCTACGGTTCTAATATATCCGAATGACCGCACGGGATACTAAGGCTGCAATTGAACTCTATTTTATATATATATATATATATATATATATATATATATATATATATATATAAGGACACATATATTATGGAGAATGATTATATTAGGACAATTCTGGTTCATTTGATGTTAATAATGAATGATTTAGATTAATGGTAATTATTAAATTAACCATGACCATATGAGTTCACCCATTTCCATAAGTTAGTGTGGACTAATCTTATTCATTAGAATATGAAGATCAAAGGCTGTAAATAAATGATTGGGATCTAAATGAGGAGGTTTACATTTCTCTTTCCCCAAATTCTCTCAGAATCGCTTCCCTTTCTTCTTTTCTTCCCCCATTTTCTGCTGTATTTTTCTGTTAGAAACCCTAGGTTGTGACAAACGACTTCCCCTCCAGTGGAGAAGACCGTGACGCCGTGTCCTACTTATTTCTGGTGTAGGGTTCGTAAATAACGTGGTGTGCAAGTCTGGTAGTCTAATCAGTTGCTTAACTGAGAAGGACATGGAAAGGCAAAAGTACATTAATTAATAACCCAAATATCTCGGGATTTCTGTGCATTTCTCATTCCATTTTTTTTTTGAATGCTACTGACTCGATTATGTAGTATCTGTTCAAACATACTTTCTCAACCTAGAAGCACAAAGAGTCAATAACACCTCCACTGAAGTTTGATCTCATGACCTCCCATATGGGAGAGGTCACTACATACCATCTGAGCATATATTTGCCCCTAACACATATAAAAACAGTTGAAAAGAGCCAAAAGTCTAGCCTTGTGCCTTTCAATAGTCCCATCAACCTTTAGCTTGGTTTTGAAGACCCATTTGCATCCTATTGGCATCTTGGAAGGAGGGAGATCAATGAGTACCCAAGTGTTATTGGCCTGTAAAGCACTGATTTCTGATTCCATGGCCTTTTTCCCGCATTCCTTCTTGATGGCTTCATTGTAAGTCCTTGGTTCTTTGGCATTTAGGGCATTCACAGCAAAGACCCTATAGGTGTGTGAGAGACTATCATAATACAAGAACTTGGAGATGTTCTTCTGATAGCATTCTGACAAGCATAGTCATCAAGGTAGGCAGGCTTGGTTTTAACTCTTGTTGATCCTCTTTGGCTCTGGTGGTGGTGATAATTCTGTATTGCCAAGGTTATTATCCTGAACTGGAGCATCAGGAGGATCCCAGGTGAATTAGCTGGAAAGGCAGTGTTTTCATCATAGTTAAAACATGACACACCTTCTGAGGGTAAAACCAAGTTGGAGGGCTGTTTGGTCTGTGAATTATGAAAAGGAAAGATGCATTCATAGAAGGAGACATATTGGGATAGAAAAACCTCTTTAGTATGAATATCAAGCAGTTTGTATCCCTTTACACCATCAGCAAACTCCAGAAAAACACACCTCCTATCTTTTGGGGAAAATTTGTTTCATTGGCAACTGGGGATGGTGGAAAATGCTAGGCATCCAAACACTCTAAGGTGTTGATATTGTGGAACTTTATTAAAGAGGATCTTATATGGAATTTGATTACCTAATGGTGCTGATGGAAGCATGTTTATCAAGTATACTGCATGTAAGATGCAATCACCCCAGGACTCCTCAGGTAAACTAGCTTTGAACCTTAAGGTCCTTGCCACAGATAGGATGTGCCCATGTTTTCTTTCCACAATGCTGTTATGTTGAGGGGTATAGACACATGATGTTTGGTGAATGATGCCTTTCTTCTGGTAGTAATCTTCCATAAGAAATTCATTTCCATTGTTAGACCTTACACACTTAATGCCCTTCCCAAACTGTGTATTGACCAATTCATAAAAATTATGTATAATGTGCCATACTTCACTCTTGTTCCTAATAAGGTAGACCCAAGTGGCCCTGCTATGATCATCTACCAAGGTCAAGAAGTATTTGTGGTCATAGACAGTTGAAACATGAAATGGACCCCATATATCACCATGAACAAGATCAAAATAGTGATTAGAAACATATGAACTAGATTGAAAGGGTAACCTTCTTTGTTTAGCCATATGGCAACATTCACAAGCTGTAGGCTTATCATTACAAATCTTATTGTTTAAAGCATGAAGAGCTTTTACTTTTCCTTCTGAAGCATGCCCTAGCCTAGCATGCCCGAAACTACAAGTATTGGCAACAGGAAATACAACAGGTTTACAGTGAGTAAAAACATGAAAGGTAAGGTGATAGAGCCCCTCCAATCATCTTCTCATGGTGTTGATCATGTATAATACATTGGTCAATATGGAAGAGTGTAATGCAATTAGATCCTCTCACAAGCTCTCCCAAAGAGATTAGAATATAGTGAAATACAGGAACACATAGAACATTCTGCAAAACCAAATCAGCAGATAAATAATGGACAGTTCCAATGTGTGACACCTCTGCATAGTGTCCTTTTGGTAAATCCACATGAATTCCTTGCACTTTCTTGGATGTGTGAAGTAAATGTATACTACATACAATATGATGTGTAGCACCGTACCACTGTCAATAATCCATTCTGACTTAGAATTAGCATTTTTACCTTCAAGTTGAGCATTGGGAATGAAGTTGGCTGTTATGGTATTGGCTTGTGGGTTAAGATCAAGAGGAGTATCAGCCCTGGCTTTCTCTTGCTGAATGAATTCAAAGAACCTTCTGCAATCCTCTTGAGTGAAAGGGGGACTAACTTCTGAACTGCCACCTTCTTGCACAGAGCCCTGTACTTGATTGGCTGAGCCCATGCCTTTGTTTTTTAGCTTCCAACCTGGAGGGTAGCCATGTTTCTTGTAACACTTCTCAATGGTGTGTCATGTATACCCACAATAACTTCATATAGGCTTTTGCTTCTGATTAGGGAAGGTTCTTCTATTGTTGGTATTTGCCTTTGTGAAGAAGGCATTCACTCATCTGATACTGTCTCCTAGACTACTAGTTTCAATGCTCACTTGTCTCTCTTGTTGTGAGACCATGGAAAAAGCCTCACCAACATCAAGAAGAGGTTTCATTAGCATGATCTGACGCTTAGTGTTTGTGTAACTATCATTCAGACCAATGAGAAAGACAGATAGCATGTCATTCTCCAAATGTGTCTTCACTTTTCAGACATATTATTCCCATATACACATTTATGAGAACATTCACAGCTAGGAATAGGTCAAAGAACAAGCAATTCATCCCATAATAGCTTCAACTGTGTAAAGTACTCATTTACAATAGAGTTACCTTGCTTTGTCTGATGAATCTATGACTGGATTTCAGCAATTCTGAAGACATCTTGTTGACTGAACCATTTCTTCAGATCCTTCCACACTCATTCAGCCGTGTTGACCCAAAGCACACTACTAGCTATGGTGGGAGACAGAGCCCCCAGAATCCATGACAAGAGCATTGTGTTGCATCGTTCCCAGTAGTAATACCTTGGATCAAGCTGAGCTTGCTCAGAACAGCCACAAGCCCATTGATAAAGCTCATCTTGTTCTTGGACCTCAATGCCATTTCCATGGCTCTTGCCCAATAATGGTAGTTGGATCTCCCTTCTAGTTCAGTCGTCACCAACTGTAAAGTATGGCTCTCATTTGTATATATGGAGATGGAGGGGATTTGTCTGATCGTTGGGATCAAAATTTCCACTCGAATTCGAAGTACGGGGGGGTCAGGGTAGGGTTCTGGTTTTGATTCTGATTCGAAGCAGGGGTTTGGGAAAGAGCTGGAATCGAATCGAAGCTCCTTGCTGAACCATGTTTGCAATTGGTGGACGCCACGCCAATATGGCTCTGATACCATATCAAGAAACTTGCAGAACCATAAGAATTTGGGAAGAAAAGAAAAAGAAGATGAGTTATTGTTTCATTGAATCTCAAATTAACTCTCCCAACATAGAGTTATGTTGTCTACCATTTGATTGATTAGTCAAGAGTAAGTATTTAAACTCCCTATCCTAACCAAACTAACTCTATATTAATATAATAGATTATCCGTTACAAAGTTAGTTAGTAGGTATGATGTCAGCTATATTGGATGGTGAATCAGAGGATAACTGTTGCACCTTTGTCGGAGATGAAACAAAGGTGAAACTACCAACAACAAGAGGTTTTGTAAACACATCAGCTAACTGATTGGTGGTGGTAACATGCAACAGTTTAAACACTTGTTTTTGCAGCTTCTCCCTCACAAGAAGGTCCAATTCCCCATTTTGCAACTTATTACAATTTATTCCAAATCATTCTAAGAGCACTCATAATTATTACATTTATACCATATTATGTAAGGAAAAATGACACTTTTTCCCACTGAGTTATATACTTATAACACTTTTTATCCCTGAATTATTCATGTAAGCACATTAGCCCCTCAATTATTTTAAAAATGGTAGTTTTTCTCCTGATATATTATTGACATTTCTACCCTTAAGATAAATATTTTATTTATTTTTCTTCTCCAACAAATTATTGTGTATACGTAGGATTCGAATTGAACCGGACACTATAGCAATCGAATTAAAAGTTTCCAAACAGAACCCAATATTTGGATTTCAGTTTATTAAAATCGAAAAAAGGGGATCCTGAACCGTGAACCGGTTCCAGATTCGGTTCGCGATTTTGAACCGTCTTTATTTTAAAATTTTATTTTGTTATATTTTAAAATAGTCTAAATTCAACAATAAATGTATTTTATTTTTTCAATTCTGAACATGAACTAGCCTTCCCAGCCTTCCCGATTCGCGATTTTAATAAACTTTAAATATCAGGTTTTGATTCTAAATTGTAATTAAAATATATTCGCAATTTTAATAAACTTTAAATATCAGGTTATAGTGTCTGTTTGGTTTGAACCAAATTGTGGTCATGATTTGTTGAAAAAAGTACTACACTAGAAATGTTACCCTTTAGAGATAACTATGTCTCTCCTCTACTTATTAGAGGGTGGGTCCTGTTTATGGGTTTTTGCACATTAGATAATACTAATGAAAAATCCCTTCAAATAAAGACAGAGACTCTTTTACGCCGGTCTCCAAATAAAGTTGTTCCGAACAGGGCTGAAGAACTTCAAGGGAAAGCAGACATTAAAAATAAATGAAATACTTATTTTAAGGGAGGTAAATATGTCCATTTAATATTTTAAAAGAAAAACCAGTCGAATAATTCAGGGGAAAAAGTGCTATATATAACTCAGTGAAAAAAGTGTCATTTTCCTTATGTAATGAGATAAATTTTCACGATTTACTGGGAATCTGGGATCAGATAGCAAAAGGGCATGCATGCAAGGTTGATCTATAGAATTGAATGGCTCACATTGCACTTTAATTTGCTTGTGTAAGATTGCTGCCGACTATGAAGCAACGTAACAAAGCCATTCACTTTGAGGAAAATAATACTCCGTAACAAATATTATATTATTGATGACATTTTGTTGAGATAAAAATCTCAAACTAGCTTCAACCAAATTATGATAAGAATCTCTTTCCTTCCCCATCTAATACATCAATATATACCCTTTAAAAATAAGAAGGAGATGGTGCTGGAGTATCAACGTCAAAACCATCGCCGCCACTGCTCAAAACCTCAATCACAGCACGACGGTAATTCTTCCACTGTGTAGGAGCATCTGCTACAGGTGAGGCCGCAGCACTATCACTTTGAAGTTGAATCATGTCACGACGAGGACTGCTCCACTCGGCTTCAGGTGATGAAGCTGCAGCACTATCACTCTCAAGCTGAATCATGTCACGGCGTCCAGGGCCGACTTCTTTTTGCTTCTTCTCGCATAAATCCGGCAAGTAGGCTCCTTCACCCGCGGCCAAGTTGAAATACAGGTCGACAATGTTGGGGCAATTGTTGTAACATTCTGGGGAACAAAGTTTGGCCGTGAAAGTTGCCTCAAGCAAGGCGTCCGACGACATGCCCACAGATTTCCGACCAACCCCGCATGCTTTTACGCACTCGTCGGTCTCTAGGTATTCCGCCATGCTACTCCCCACCACCACTTCTGACGTCTTGCATTCATACTCCACCTTGCCGTTATCCTTTATCGAGTTTTCTAACACACATCTCTTTCCAATTGATGAGACAGAAAATGCGCAAGCATTTATGGGCAAATTCTCGCAAATAATATCAGCAAGAACACCATGGAAAGAAAGAGTGCAAGCCAATAAAAGAACCAAGACCGATGAAAATTTCATGGAGGCCATGGATCTTGATTCTTTTATTTTCTTTAACTTATCGTTTATTTGGTCTCTCGCTTTGTTTGTGGGAGAAGAAGGTAGAAATGAAGGCTATTTATATGAAGTTTTTGTGGTTGTTACAATGTGTGATTTAGCGAGTTATTAGCATCCGCCATAACCGATCACCATTCACCACCCAATTGAGGAAAAGTATATTTATTCTTAATAAAATATATATGTTTTTTTATATAGTTTATAATTTTAACAAAATTATATTGCTGATTTTCCTTCCTTAGATAATAATAATCCCTATGTTGCCTTTTCTATGGTGCTTCAAAATGGGTAATTTTCTAGATTTCCTTATATACTACAATGTCTCTTATATCGCTCATATAAATATGGCCTAACAATGCCTTAAATTTCTTCATATTCTTACCCCAATTTCTTCATATTCTTGAATATAGAAGAAGGGGTTTTCAGCGCAGCCTTGCCACCTTCTAAAATTCAACTTCTTTACTTTGCTATGGATCCAGCAGTAATTCGCCGTTCAAAATGCAAGGTATAGTTTCTAATAACACGAGATGCATATGTATAGTTTGGTTGTGTTTGATTTTTCTAATAATATTTATACACTTTGATATATTATATTGTTGATGTTAGTATTACTAGTCTCAGCTTTAAAAGCGTGTGGACTATGAAAAACCTAAATTGATTTTTTTAAATTGTGACTGTGAATTTTCTTATCAATCATAATAGATTCGCACTTATAATCACAAGATAACATTGTCTTCTGGTCAACTATGGATAACCTAAATTGGTTTAAATTTTCTGCTGGCTAGAATTACAATGCAGGATTTTTGGAAATTTTACTGGTCATATTTTTAAAAAAAAAACTAGGTATAGGTATATAATGTTTAATACTAACATAAATACATGATGAAGGCTGCTTGTTGTTCGGAGTCAGCGGCGGCGCCTCCACCAAAGTCAATATTAAAAACGCCAGCGGCACCACCCAATGAAGCTGCGCCGCCTCCTCCGCCGCCGGAGCCTCCAAAGAAAGTCGAGTTTGCACCGCCGCAACAGCCTCCCAATGAAAGCGTACACCCACCCGCGGCCAATAATGAAGTTGCTCCGCTTGTTGATCCGCGCTCCGGTCACTGCCACGGCCGCGCGTTCCACCCAATCGCGCACCCGTTTCCGCCGCCGGTCCACATGAGAGGGTGTTGGGAAGACATCGACCCGCCGCTTTCGAGGATTCCGAGGTTGGAAAACATTGATGCGCAGCTTGCAAGGGGATATAGGCCGAATGAGTTCTACTACGATGCCCATTACTATGGGTATCCGCCGCCGAGGGATTATTACAACCACCGTCACCGCCACAGACGCCACAACTACCACTATGGACCGCCGCCAATGGAATACGACTTCCACCACCACCCACGCGGTGGACCGCCGCCTATTGAATACGACTTCCACCAACACCGCCGCGGTGGACCGCCGCCTATGGAATACGACTTCCACCACCACCGCCGCGGTGGACCGCCGCCTATGGAATACGACCTCTACCACCACCACCGCAGTGGACCGCCGGTACCACCACCACCACATGCGTATTGCCCATATAATTACTTTAGTGATGAGAATCCCAATGGTTGTAGCGTTATGTGAGGTGCTTCATATTGCTTTAATGTTTCATTATTTATTGATTTAATTTGCTAAACAAGCATTTAAGTGTCATTGCTTTGATATTGATAATTGGATGATGATATTACCATTAAATTAAGTTTTGTACAAAATTCTTGGGACAAAAGGTGAAATTTCTTCACCTTGGCCTTTCACACTCTGGTCTAACTAAATAGTGAAGGGTCAAAGTACCCATTAGGTAGATGAGTGGAGGGAGGACTAATACTCTTACTCTTCACAATGACCCTATTAAAGTGGTCGAAATTTTTAATCATTTTTTTTTGGTAATTTGAAAGTGGTTGGAAAGGTTTTTTTTTTTTATTTTTTTTATTTTAAATAGAAAAATGTTTTATCAATGTTTGCTAGAAAATTTTTTAACAAGGGCAAAAATAATGCGAGATGTTTTTTCAAAAAAAATATTACCTATTAATCTATTTCTTTATTTTTCTCCCCTTTTTTATTTCACACTAGAGATAGTTGCCAAGAAATCTTTTTGTTGTTGTCAATTAAAGTGTTTCAACACGGACAACAAAGGAAAAAATATAATATTGAGGATTTTTTATTGAATGTAAAGTAGAATAAAGGAGACAAATATATAGAGAATAATTCAATGAAATTTGAGTTTGATAGACAAAAAGTTTCAACCCCAAACTTAGATTTTTTGTTGTGTTTGCAAAAATTTCAACCAACTCAGACTATGGTTGAAACAAGTAAACAACCTAAATTTGTAACTATTTTTTTTTTTTTTTATGATTGAAAAAGTAGTTGAAATTTTGCAATTTTCCAGCAAGGTGGGGTAATTACTTACCCCTTTTGTTTACTTTTTTAATATTTAATTATTTATTTTAAAGAAACCCGCCACCTCTTTAAATTGAGGCTTTTTTTTTTTTTTTTTGAATGTAAATTGAGGCTATTATTACTATACAAATTTGTTTAATAGTCCAAATATTAGGTACGTAATAGGCTACCAGGACTATGTGGTCCAATGGTACCCGGGTTGGACTTCCATTTGGAAAGTTGTGAGTTCAAGCCTCAGTGGAGGCGTTATTAGCTCTTTGTGTTTCAGTAGGTTGAGAAAGCATATGAACAGATACTACAATGTAATAGAGCTAGTAGCATTCAAAAAAAAAAAAAAAAAGGTACGTAATAGAATTTTGATTAGCCTATATACGTTTTGATTTTATATTTTTATTTATGGATAGATGGATAGATTACCCCCCCCCCCCCCCCCCCCCCCCCCCCCTCTTTTTTTTTTTTTTTTTTAATTTTTAAAGTGGTATCTTGGAACCATTTAGGGAGGTTTGGGTTAAGGTATATAAAATGATCAAGTTAATGTAATAACTCACAAGAAAATTTCAAAAAAATCTGTACAAGAGAATTTTGTTAAAATTTGTTATTTTCTCATCATAAATTTACGTCCTATTAATTGATTCTATCCAAGTTTTTTTTTTTTTTTTTCCAAATCTACTTAGCTTATTAGTTAAATAGAAAATGAGTCTGCACGTGCTTAGCTCAATGGTTCAATAGGTCGTATTTGGAAGAAGAGACCAATGTTCAAACTTCGGCGACGATAATGTGAAGATTATGCCCAAAATGAGTAGATCCCTTGTGCGCACCACTCTATCGGGACAAGGGTGTGGGGACCCTTGGGGTTAGGGGTCGTTTGGTTCACGGAATGTCAGATTACCCTAGGGAATGTTAGATTGCTGGGAATGTTAGATTCCTGTGTTTGGTTAAAATTGGGGTATGTAATATAATCATGTTTGGTTTAGGGTTATCTTTTATTCACACACTATAATATCCTTAACATATTTTGATATATTTTAATAAATTTAAAAATTAAAATAAATAAATAAGATAACAGTATCATATATAATTACATGATTTTAAAATATTAACTAAAATATTGAACTTGAGAAACAATTATTTTATATGCTAACCTAACATAATAAAAATAAAAAGTATATAATTACAAAAATAATTATATATGTATGTGTGTAATAAACTAACATAACCAAGGTTATCTTACATAACCTTGGAGAAGTTATAAATAGAATAAGTAGCATCAGTCAATTTTGTTTAGTATATATGTTGTATTTAATACTGGATTGGTATTACCATCCTTTCAAAAAAAAAAAAAAAAAGGACTGGTGTTACCATTTTTGGACCCCATGATATAATGTAGAATATTCTTTTTTCTTATTAGTAGATTTTTTATTAAAATAAAAAAGGTTTTAACAAGTACGGTCCTGTTTGGTAAAAAATTAGCCTATAGGTCAATTTTAGCTTATTTGACTATTATTAATTGTTTGACTTAGTTAAAATATCAATATAAATATTTGGTTAATTAGCTTTTTGCAACTCCAAAAGGCTAAAATTCAAAAAGCTACTCCAAGCAACTTTTTCAATTAGCTTTTTGAGAAAAGAAATTATATCTAACAGTTAATTTACCAAACACATTTCTACAATAAGCTAATATTATCAACTATTTATACCCTCTAATTAACACAATATGCTAACAGCAAACAGCTAGCAGCTAACAGCCATTTTACCAAACAAGGCCTACATATTTCTCTATTTGTAAGTCGTAACGTTTAAATTTGGAATTTTATTTTAGACAGATGCATAGATGATAGATTAAAGTTGTGTGTTTTGTTTAGTTGTAAATTATTAGTACAACAACAATGAGTTTTTTTTTTTTAGCTACGAGAGAAACTTGCAGTCACTACTCGAGAATGTGTGTTTGGTAAATCTCGCCTTGTGATTTTAGCCGATAAAGGAGGTAACTAATTTAGGTTGTCCATTATTGATCAGCTCAAACTAAAAACGCTGTAAATCTCGCCTTGTGATTTTAGCCGATAAAGGAGGTAACCAATTTAGGTTGTCCATTATTGACCAGCTCAAACTAAAAACGCTAAAAGGCTGCTCCCGTTGAGAGTCAAACTTGTAATATTGTGATTATCAAATTAACAGCCCGACCAACTTGACAAGCATTATTTTGATAATGCGATATATGATTCACGAGAACTTAAACATAGGAAATTAAATAACATATATAGTTAAAGGGAACATTATACTCCTTAATTCACAAATTAATATAGGCATAACCATAGCAAAAGACAGAGAAATTTAGAGAGCACCAATGTTCTTGAGGCCAAGAACAACTCCAACACCAATGATGTGGCCAACAGTGCCACAAGCCAAGGTATCAGCAAGAGTGAACCCGGCCGGGTCACCCGATTGTAGACCGGAGTCCCGGCTCTCCAGCTTCAGACCGGCGGTCGCCTTCCGGTTTGCTGATGGCGCCAGCCCGAACCTCCCAGCAAATAGCATTAGGCTTGTTGCTGTCACCATTATCTGTTCACACCCATCAATCAAACTTTTTAGCCACTCACCATTATTGGTCTCTCAAGTTATTATGCAATTTAGTTTTTTTTTTTTTTTTTCAATTTCGTCAATTAATATGGCCTCTCAATTGTTTATTGTGTTGTAAATCTAGTCCTTCGAGCTTTAGCTTATCCGTCAATTTTGATTTATTTGACCACTATTAACTATTTGACTTGGTTAAACTGCCAATAAATGTTTGATTAATTAGTTTTTTGTAATAGTTTTTTGCTCTAAAATGCTAAAATTTAAAAAGTTGCTTACAACAGCTTTTTCAATCAGTTTTTAGAAAATAATGTTGTATGTAATCAGTTATCAGCTTACTGCTAATTTACTAAACATCTTTTTACAATCAGCTAGTGCTATTAAGTAGTCAAACTCATTAACCTAATCAGCTATCAGCTATTTACCAAACACACCTAAAAGTGTGTTTTACTCTCGAGAAAATTACTTACCAAATTTGTGGGTGAGCCAATGAAATCACAACGAGCTCCCAAAGCACCTCCTCCCCTGCGCTTCATTGGTTGTAGGGCAACCTGAACATTAAAAATTTTGAAATCAAACCCTTATAGAAAACTTTAATTCTCCAAAGTATTTAAAAAAAATAAAAAAGTGTTAACCAAATCCGAGAGACTATTTTCTGTATACTTATATACACTCCTATGATGAATTAATATCCCTAATTACAATCGATAAGTACATCCACTACAACAAATTACAACACTTCGAGATAAACGGCACCAATGACCTTACAAAACAGAGACGATTACCTTTAAGTTTTACAATATACATTAAGGTTATAAGGTAAGATATAGAGTGTATAAAAGAAAGGGAACTGACCAAACTCCTCGAGGGAGAAGTTGATGGGGCTGTGATGGCTTTAAGGCCATTAAACTGGGGAAGAGAAGTCATCATGCTGGCTGCCATTTTCCTTAATTTCAAACAAAAAACCTGTGAGATCTTCTAAGTGTTGTTCTGGTTTAAGTTTTGGTGTTTTTGGAAATGTTTTGATGGCATAAATTTGATATGCATTGCAGAGGTGGATCTGTACCACATGAGTTTGTGGCCTCAGAATTGGTGCTTTGGATACATTAAGATTTATGTTTGCTGACGTGGCAGTTCAATATTGGGCAGGCACAAATGGATAAGATTTGGATAAGTGATCATTTTTTGGTCTTACTGCAACCCTTTTCAACAATGCATCACACTTAAACTCATGTAATTAAATTACATGATAAATTATAATGTAGTTTTTAACTTTTGGAAAAATCATTATTTTGGTCCCTTAATTGTTTTTCGATTGTTAATGTAGTTTATAATTTTCAATTTCAATTAATTTAATCATCAAATTATTTAAAATTTCGTCAATTGATCTTTCCAAGGGACCAAAATGGTGATTTCTCCATTTTTTAAATTTTATCAATTTGATCCTCGAATAAGGGTTTAATTAATGAAATTTTAAAGAATTCGAGGATCAAGTTAGTTGAAATTGAAAATTATGAACTACATTAACAATTGGGAAACAATAATTGAGGGACCAAAATGATGATTTCCCCTTAACTATTTAAATAAATTTGTCTCCTCTTTAACATTTTTTAATTAATTTATCTCATTAAACAGATTTAATTGTCTTTGAAAATTTTATATTAGAAAAGTTAAGAAACATTTTTTTAATTCGTGTGCAGTAAAATAGTAAACTTCATTGCATATAATGAAAATATTTCTTTAACATTTTTTAATTAATTTATCTCATTAAACAGATTTAATTGTCTTTGAAAATTTTATATTAGAAAAGTTAAGAAACATTTTTTTAATTCGTGTGCAGTAAAATAGTAAACTTCATTGCATATAATGAAAATATTTAAGTACAGAGTTAATCAACGATTTGGTCTCTCAATTATTAGCAAACTATCAATGTAGTCCTTCAATTGCTTATTCATCGATTTGGTCCCCGAAAATAATTATTTTTAGTCAATTTAGTCCCTCCGGCCGTCGATTTGGTCCTCGAAAGCAATTATTTTTAGTCGATATCGACGGCCGGAGGGACTAAATCGACTAAAAATAATTATTTTCGGGGACCAAATCGATGAATAAGCAATTGAGGGACTACATTGACAGTTTGCTAATAATTGAGGGACCAAATCGTTGATTAACTCTTTAAGTAAATAAACAATTAAACCCAGTGGCGGACCTAGAAAACTTGTTCAGTGCAGGCGAAACACATTAAAACAAAAGAGATAGTTTGATAATAAAACATAAAACACTTAAAAGTATAGAATAAATATTGTTGGATGTGAACGAAAAATAAAACACATCAAAACTTTATAAAAAAAATATTCATAACAAAATATGAAACATAAGTAATTTGATAAAATAATTCGAATAAAAAATACATTATAAACACATCTCATTATAAGAAAGTTATATATATGTGTGTGTAAATCTCACAATTAATTAATACGAAGTATTTAAAAGTCATAAAAAATATAACATAAACACTTTGCCACCTAAGTAATACAAAATAAACTTGCACACACAATGAGGATTCAAACCCTAGCCACTTACAAAGACAAGACATACACCTTGCCACTTAGTTCTAGTCATCTTTTTTTTTTTTTTTTATAATTTTTATCTATTTTATTATACATATACTAAAACTTGTACTATATATACATATATACATACACGGTTATATATGGGGTGTGGGTGGGGTGAGGGGGAGCACCTGCCCCCATGCTGGGTCCGCCCCTGGTTAAAACTACTTTTGTTTAGGAATTAAAATATTTAAGGGCATGTTTGGTTGATGGAAAATGTTTTCCAAAGGAAAATGTTTTCCTTGAATTGAAAAATTGAGGTTTTCTTTGTTTGGTTTTTATGGAGAACATTTTCCTCAAAAATAGGAAAACATTTTCCATGGTCCTCCCCTGGTATTTTGTTTTCCATGGAAAATGTTTTATATGGAAAACAAGTAAGACAATTATGCCTTCACCATCTTTTTTTAATTACCATTATTATTATTGTGTTATTATTGTGTAGGGGTATAATTGTCTTTATACTCATTATTCCTTACAATCTCAAACTCAACCAAACAATGAAATCGATATTTCCAGTAATTTATTTTCCACCAACCAAACAATGTAATTAATCTTCCCGGTAATTTCTTTTCTATGAATTTCAATTCCATTTCCCCTCAAATATTTTCCGCGAACCAAACAGAGCCTAATAAAAAGAATGTGGATACATTCACATGTATAAATGTATGTATAAACAATATATTATATAAATTTATGTATAACAAACGGCGAGACTCCGAGCAATCCGAGGCGAGAGGGGGGCGAACGGCGACCTGGTGGCTGGTGCGACTGGCCGACTGTTGTGGGTTTGCGACTGTGAAGTTGGAAGGTTGTTGCGACTGTGGAGGCTGCTGGCTGGAGTGGCTGTTGCGATTGCTGTCTGGCGACTGGAGACTTAGCTGAGTGGCGGTCTGGCAGAGGCAGAGGCGATTAGGCGAATGCAATAAGGATAAGAAGGCGAAGACGAAAAGTGAAAGAAGAGAATTAGATCTAGATTCTAGCCTTCTAGGGTTACTCTTGATTCTTGACCAGTTGCCCACCCAATAATGTCTCATATATATATATATATATATATATATATATATATATATATATATATATATATATATATATATATATATATATATATATATATATATCTGCAGCCTGCCAAGCCCGCTAAGCGAGCAAAAAAAACCCCGCTCCTTTGTGGGTGGCAAATTATGTCCTGGATCCGTGTCCACAATTCACAAAATGAGGTCGTTTTAAAAAAAAAAACAAAAAACGCGGCATTTAGTTAAAAAAAAAGAAAAAAAAATCGCGCGCGTTTTGCTGTTAACGGCGTTAACGGCGTTATTATTATTATTATTTTTTTTATTATGAATGTACAGTTATGCAATTATGAAATTATGAACACAGAGCTCTAACATTATGAACTTACAATTATGAACATATATAGTGATAAAATTATGACCATGGAGCTTTAAAATTGTGAATATAGAGCTTCGAAGATTATGAATGTACAGTTATGGAGTTATGAATGTACAGTTATAGAGTTATGAATCTACAGTTATGGAGTTATGAATCTACAGTTATGAGATTATGAATCTACAGTATGGAATTATGAATGTACAGTTATTGATCAAATTATGAACAAAGAGCTCTAACATTATGAACTTACAATTATGAACATATAGTGATAAAATTATGAACATAGAGCTCTAAAATTGTGAACATAGAGCTTCCAAAATTATGAATGTACAATTATGGAGTTAATAATGTACAGTTATGGAGTTATGAATGTACAGTTATGGAGTTATGAATTTACAGTTATAGAGTTATGAACGTACAGTTATGGAGTTATGAATGTACAGTTATTAACATATAGTAATAAAATTATGAACATATACTCCAATAACGAAGCGGTCTGAAATTTTTTTTAAAAAAAAAAAGAAAAAAAAAAGAGGAGATAACAGTGTCTAACGACACTGTTACCCGTGTCCAGCAAGCATGCTGGACACGGGTCCAACGCATAACGATTGTTTGCGGGTTACTATTTTCGAAACCCACCCCCTACCTAAGTAGGGGCGGGACGGGCCGGCGGGCAAAACCCGTTTTGACGGCTCTAGGTACAAGTGCAACAATTTTTATTATTAATGAAAAGATGAAGTTAAATAGGACGAACTCGAACATAAAATTTCGAGCATCCTTACTCGAGCTCGAGCTTCGAGCTCTTTTGAGTCAACTTTTGGCTCGAGCTTGAATTCGAGTTCGACCAGTCGAGCCTAATGAGCCAAACTCGAATTGATCAAAAGTTCACGAGCTGAGCTCGAGCTCGATATTCGGCTCATTTACACCTTATTTGTTGGATTCATCTATATTAAATGCATTTTTTATGGTAAAATAAAATGTTTTTCAATTTTAAAATGCCTTCGATTTGTAAGGGACAAAATATTTGTCTCGTGTTACGCTACTATCGAGAAGAGTGGCATGTTTTAAGTATGCGCCGTCACTGTAACATTATGCTTAATAATTTTTTTTTTTTATAACATTACATTTTTTTTTACTTTGTCGGATAATATTTTAGACCTTATAAATTCACTCAAATTTATGAGAAGATAATTGAGTTAATTTAATTTCAAAATTCATTGTGGACAATCAATTTAAATTCAAATTAAACCTCAATATTTGTGAAATGAATTGAACTCTACCATATTGCCGCTTTAAGCAAATTTTAAGCTAAGTGAAGTTTTTGATTTATTAGACCAATGTCACATGGGTGCTTATTAATTTTATAAGGAGTATTATTGCCTATCACGTAGATAGGATCAAAGAAAAAGAAAAACAAGAGAAAAATTATAAACATCTATTAAAATTATGATCAATAAACACATTAAATAATAAATTAAAAGTACATAAAACATAAATTAATGAATTAATTTCACTTTTGGTCCCACGACTTTTGAGTTCTTATCACTTTTGGTGCACAACTTTAAATTTTTTCAATTTTGGTGCCTGATTTTGTTATTTTTATCAGTTTTGGTCCTTCCAACCAAATTGACGGTAAAATATTTCCGGATTTTATATTTTAGGGGCAAAATCGTCATCCCATGGAAAGATCTTCAATATTTAAACAAAAGAAAAATCATATTAAGAGGAAAAAAAGAGTTTGTAATGGTCGAAACTATAAAACCCATAGATCTGTCTGGTTTCTGCCCATCTTCCCCATTATTCTCATCATCAAACACCTATAGATATGATTTTACAGTGATTTTGTTTAGATATTGAAGATGTTTCCTTGGGATGACGATTTTACCCCTAACAATATAAAATCCAGCAACATTTCGCTGTCAATTTGGCCGAAAGGACCAAAACTGATAAAAATAACAAAGTTAGGCACCAAAATTAAAAAAATTTAAAGTTGTGCACCAAAAGTGATAGAACATCAAAAGTCGTGGGACCAAAAGTGAAATTAATTCTAAATTAATTCTTCCACTTTCAGAACTAGCGGATAGAAAACTAAAATTATTTATAAATGATCGGTTCAAATCAAGAGTTATTGAATCTTCACTACATTTCTTTTCTTCGCTTCTCACGAGAAATAGAGATTACAGAAAAATGCCAGTGGGGACAGTATTGTTTCTCGCGTTTTGCTCAGTCCAATAACTACTATCAGATATACTACAACCACAGGATCTCCAAAACGTTGGGGAAATATATTTAGTAATAAAACACTATAAATGATGTTCCGACGACCAAAACCATGTATATTCTAATGTTCATAGAGGTAAATGTTACATGGTTCAAATATCATCTACCTATATATTCATTCATACTAGTATTACTCAATATATTGACATGAAAAGATAAGAAAATTTAAAAATGAAAGCTAATTATTACCTTGTCAGGTAAAACAATATATAAAAACTTAAATTTTACGGTGTATTAAAGAACAGTATCTTATATTTGATGGGAGGCAACCCCAACTAAATTGGTTAAATAATTAGCTTGATAACAACGATGTTTCAAATTTGACTTGATGAAGCCGTTGTCTATTCGTCTGATCTTTCTGGTTTGAACCGGTCAGCTATGGACAAACTAAGCTAATTTACCTATTTATGATCCTTTGCCAGCCAGAGTCATAAGACGAGCTTCACCTAGAGCACATTTTTGAATAGCTACTGCAAACTTTCTTGTAAATCAAAGTATATTGTATTTGAGTGAGCTTTCTCCTAAATCAAAGTATCTTGTACGGAGTACTTAATTCCGTTGTTTTTCTTAGTTTGTTTGTTTTTTGAAATTTTTCTTAGTTTGTTAGTTACAAGACAAAAAAATATATAGGAAAAATTGTAATTTATGTCCTCTATAAATGCCAATTATCAATGCCACTTCTGAATTATTAGTGGTATAAATGTTATTCCTCAATTTTTAAAATGATACATATATTGCCCTCCTGTAGTGTAAATGTTGTCCCTCAATTTTCCTCCCGTACAGTACGGGAATCTTTTTTAAAATTGCGGGCATAATTTACAACACTAATAATTCATGAGTGACATTGATAAGTGACAATTTTTTCAAATATATACTATATATGGTTAGAATTTAGAAGATACGATGCATAATTGTACTAGATACGATCAATATGGTAAAAATTTCAAAAAGGGGCTAATTGCTTGACACAAGAAGATTAGAACATTCTCTGGACATTTCAGATTCCTAAATGCTTGCTTACAAAAACGAAGACATAGGCAGAGATTCTTAAACCAACAACAAAGAAAGGCATGTTCTGCACCCAAACAAATGACACATTTGGCTAAGTCCTTTCCTTCACAATCACACAAAATATACTTAAATGGTCAACTCCTTCTCAGATACAACAGCTGAAGAAGAATGCTGATTTCCCACCAAAATCTGCTCCAGTTGTGCCTTGACAAGGCAGCTGCAGATGCCTTCAAATCCCTATGAATCACAAGTAATTACACAACACGAAAAAACCAACAAAAATGAATTCTTTTTCCCTTCTCGGAAACACAAGATTGAACTACATTGTATAACATAGATAGCAGTTGGTAGTAGTTATGAACAGATACTGAATTGTAACAGAGTCAGTAGTACTCAAAAAAATAAAAGATAGCAGTTGGTAATTACCCAGGGCGACCGGAGGTTGCATAAGTGCATTTCCCAAAACCTGCAAAAACAAGTGACCGAGAATTTGTTACTGATTCTACAATTCGATTGTAGAGAACGGGGGGAAAGCGATGCTCACTTGGGTTGTTTCCAGTTAGCATAGCAGTCCCACCGAAGTTGCAGGCGATGTCATTGTTGCCATTCTGTTGGTAGTAGCTGTTGAATGCATACGAGGCATGGGAGGCGAGCGTGTTGGGCTCGAAGCAGGGGCCGCCCGCCTGGATTGCATTGCAGTCCGTCATTCCCAGACCGCACGCCCAGTCTAACGCGCTCTGCAAATCAAATTGGGAGGCGCCACCACGGGCCACACACCACGTCGTGCCACCACTCCCACCGAGGAACGTTGTGTTGCCCTCGGGAGGCGAGAGCGTTGTGACCGGAATTGCAGAATCCATCTTCATTTGTTGTGCCCTGGCATCCACTTTAGGAACTCAACATTTCACACAAAATGAGAAATGAGTCAATAATACGTCAATCCAATGAAAGTATGAAACACATTCACAATAAAATGAACTTCATCAAATGGCAAATAACTACTATAACTTATCAAGAAAGCTCAAATGTGCATGACCCGAGCAATAGATATCGGGAGAACTCCCTCAAATGAGTTTTGACCATTCCCGTAAATGGGTTCTGACGATAACTCAACTCTAAATTAGTCGATAGGTTACCCATACCATACCAAAGAGTCATGAAGCACAAATGCAATTCTCAATGTTGTTACTACTACTACTACTTTTTGTTAACCAAAATCTTTATTTTGGGTTAAAATGGCTACTTTGGATATATACATACATGTATATATGAATACATATATACACATCAAACAAATGCCAAAAATAGGTCTTTCAATCAACAATATGGTTAACTATTCAGGGCATTTAGTACCCTCAAACATGATACACTTGTGAAGCAAAGTAAGTCTTTAAACCCCAATTCCTCTGCTTGAAAGGGGTTTTTTAAAAATAATAACAATTTAATGAAATTTTCTTATAAATTACAATGCCTCCCCCACCCCTAAACAACAGCACTAACAAGATTATAATGCTTGACTGTGATAGAAATATGAATAATGAACAGATTAATTAATATTTTTCTAAATCACTAAATCAGAGAATACTAGAAAGTAAAAATGTAAGTTCAGAAACTACAAGATAAGAAGGTGATAAAAATTGCAGAAAGTATTTTTTTTTTTTTAAAGGGAGTAAATAATACCAAGACAGCATTGCAGTGTGAATAGCAGAAGTCCAAGAAGAAGAACCAAAACTCCACCTTTCATGGCTGCAAAGATTTGTTAACAGAGAGAAAGAGTGTATCACTTGACAAAGAAGATTGAAAAGGGGAATGGAGATTGGAGGGGATGAGAAGGACATCTCATAATGGTGCCTTTTAATGCACAAAGTGTACATGAAGAATCAGCCGTTTCTTCTCTACAAATTTTCTTCTTTTCCTCTTAATTTTTTTTTTTTTTAAATTTAATTTCTTTGCTACCCTCATTTTGCCTTTGGTATTCTCAAATAGAAGGTTTTCTGTTTTACTTAAGTCATCTATAGTTTTATATAATAGCAAATCTCATTCTTATTTTATTTCTCTGGGTTTAATCTTAATTTTTTAATATTGTCATATTTAGTTTTATACTTTTCATTTTAATTCACCCTAAAGTACAAAAATAATTTACTGTAATTTTCATCTCAAGCTATTTAACTCATACTCCATGATCACGGTTCCTTTTAATGGTAAGGGCATCCTCAATAGTGTGAACATTTTGAGGAGATTTTACAGGTGTGATTAGTAAAGACAAAATGGAAGTGAGAGAAAAAAAAAAGAAACAAAAAAGAAAATTAAAATCAAAAATAAAAAATTAAAAAAAAATTAGAATTACGTGCCCGTCTGGGCGCATGTGAGGCGCAACTCTCACTCTTCACTATGGGTCCCACCCTTTTGCAAAATCCTCATTTTTGGAGGACAACTCCATCCCCTTTCTCTCCTCTCTCCTCTCTCCTCTCTCCTCCACTTCGCTATTTTTCCCTCAAAATCTGTGCACAATCCCCCTATTGGGGTTGCCCTAATGGCGAGTCGATTATCAATGAGCACGTAGATTTAATACATTATATATTAATTAGTATATACTGGATCAGGTGCGAAGATAACTTCCCATGCGGATACGGTTAACACAAAATGACGCACCTTAAGTGTAGAATTGACGCACCTAACCTTAAATATTAAAATGGCTCACTTAAGTACACACAAATCACGCACCTTAAACAAACAAACAAAGCACCTGAAGTTTTAAAATGGCGCACCTTAAGTTTCAACAACTTACGCACCTTAAGCATACAAATCACGCACTTTAAGAAGGAAAACAACGCACCTAAAGAAGTAAAACTACACACCTAAAGCTTTAGGTCGACGCACCTTAAGTTTCAACAACTGACGCACCTTAAGCACACAAATCATGCACCTAAAGCTTTAGACCAACGAACTTAAGTTTCAATTACTGACACACCTTAAACACACAAAACAAAAACCGCGCACCTTAAGCACAAACACCATGCACCTTCAGAAGAAAAACCACGCACATTAATTTTGACCTAGATGCAAAAAGACTAAATTATCACGCATTTTTTTTTTAAATCTTGTTAATCCTGGACATTGATCTTGACCAGATCAATGACTCTCATCTCACCCCACAACTACACCCGACACACCTAATCGCACGGGAACCCATTTCTTAATTAGTAATTAGTTAATAAATTTTTGTTGATGTAATCTTATTCTTGTAGTTTACGGGTGTTCTTGTTTGTTTGTATAGTAGTGTTGACCAACGAATTGTGTTCTATTGACTATTTGTATATATTTTTTTTTTATTGTTTCATTGCTTATTTGCTTGAATTTGTCGTTTCTTAAAATAAGAAATTATAAATATGTTCTTGTTGGTATAGACATAGTGGATTAGTGGTACTCTTAAATATGGAGCTAATTGTGACAATTTTTTATTTAAAAGATTTATTTATTTTTTAATGTAATTGCTTTGATATTATATTAGTTTGTCAATTATATATTTTTTAAATTTAATTTTTTATTTTTAGAAATTTAAAATTAGACTGGCTAACAACCTATTTCGACAAATCTAGTTTTTGTATCCAAGATGTTTTTTTTTTATTTTTTTTTTATTTTACATTATTCACCCATATATATGTAGCATCTACCTCACTAGTGGACATATATGTATCGTTTTTTTCTTTTTTTTTTTTAAACGATATTGAATATTTGACTTTATAAAATATTTTATGAGAACTTATAATAATAGTCTAAAGTGTAGAATATATTTCCCTAAAAAAAGTCATTTAAGATTGATAATACATAAAATGTATACAGTAGTTGGACACATGCTTATTGTTTTTTTTTTAAAAAAAAAAAAAAAAGTAAACAACAAGATAACAATAATCATAATTCAAAATGTCACAAATAAAAGGAGAGGAATATGATTCCCAACCCTCTAACCTGATTGTAAACCAATAGTTCTAGCAAGGGAATGAGTCGTACGATTAGTTGATCGTCTAACAAAACTAATACTAATGTTGACAAACTTAAGCATAGGACAAATGCAATCCTTAACTACAAAGCCCTTATGTCAAGTCTTTTCCATATAACAAGTGAAATACGACTAATTCTGTGAACCAAAATTTAAGTCCTGTGTCACACACAGTTTTCTTAAAATTTTATTTGTTATATCCCTTAATTGTTAGGAGTATTGTAGTTTAGATTTTTCAAGATAAAATAAATTACGATAGATTAGTCGAACATTCAAACTAAAATGTCACTGCAAATATGAACAAGGAAAAAATAGAATTTTAATTTAAGCAGAAGAGCACAAGTTTTTTAGAGAAATAGAGTTTCTGGATGAAAAGCATAATTTCGTGAATTGTGTATAAAACATTAAAACATATGTTCAACCACGGTATTTAGTGGAGATGAGGTTAAACTAGCAATCTAGAAATTCATCAAATATATAATCAGTGTAAACCTCCCAATAACAATCGGTTAATCAATTAAATATGAAAATAATAGTATACGTTACAATGATTACAACCATTATTAATAAATAAATTATGACGAGAATTTTATTATCCTGAGTTAATTTCAACTAAAAAGGTTATACTCCAGTAGAGGTACTATTTCAGAAGACCACAGCTTCGAAAGACAAATCTAAATCAATAGATTAAAAACCAATTTCGACAGGTGACACAAAGAAGTTGACGACACACTAAACTTTTTAAACAAATTTTTTGTGCATGTGCTTATATATAATGTATCTTTAGATAATTAGATTTTAATTTGTAATTTGTACTATAATTATAATGTATATAACTCATATTTAACACTAATATAATTTATATGTAATATTTTTATTTTATAACTATATATTATTGAGTTATAAAGTATAGTCTATGTAATAAATAAATTTTATATTAACTATATAATATAATTATATTAATATTTATATAAAGTTATAATTAATCGTATTAATTAATACTTGTGTGTGTATATAATCGTATTATATATATATATATATATATATATATATATATATATATATATATATATATATATATATATATATATATATATTGGATCCGATGAGGTCACTATTGGCAGGTGAGATCGTGAGACTCGATCTTGTTCGTTTATTTGTATTTTTTAATGCTCCAGATTTAGTGTATTATTAAGCAACGTGCGTTGGGTTTTTTTGAGTTAGGGGCATTGCTGTTTTTTTTTTTTTTTTTTTTTTTTTTTTTTTTTTTTAAATAAAAAATAATGCATAGATGTCAAAAAAGTCAACAAGTCATACATAGATGGCCCCAAAGTGACCACCCACATCAAAGATACTTCCTAACTCTACTTTATTTAACCTAGCTAAATATGTACAAGGATAAGCCTTCACGTAAAGGCCAAGGAGGCTCAAACCTATCAAGAACATGTTCACCAAGTAGATTCAACCTCAATCATTCCATCTACTCACCAAGCTTTCAAAAACCATAGTCAGTGTTAAGCTCCCTGTCCCACACAAAGGATGGGACAGATGCCCATTCAAGGGGATCCCTTATACCCTGCCACCCTTAGGCTAAAGTCCCATCCCCACCGACATAGCGTACTATGTTTTATCCCCGAGGACTTTAAGGGACCCAACCTAAGCAATGGTACTCACCCTCCTTCCACCCTCACACCCAAGGCCCACCCCCCTCGGCATAGCGTACTATGTTTTAGCCCGGGGGAGCTTAAAGGGCCCCGATGAGAGTAATGGCACCCTCTCCCACCATCCTTAGTCCAAGAGTACACCCCCTTGGCACAACGTACTGTGTTTGAACCCGGGGGGAGGGGGGGCTTTGGAGACTCTGGCCTAAGCAATGGTTTCCACCAACACACTCTCAACCCCAAGCTACCTTTTCTCTCTTTTCTTTTTCTCTTCTTTCATTTATCTCATTCTTCTTGTTTTTTTTTTTTTAACAGTTTTCATCATTTCCATCTCCAAACTACTTTTATCTCCTTCTTTTCAACAACTTTCCTCTCTTTTTCTCTTCTTTTTTCATTATCCTAAGGATCCACACCTTTGCCGGACACTCCCAACTCAAGGTGTATGCTATACTTGGAGCTCAACCTAACCCCATCAATCTAACACAAGCTAGACTAAGTGATTGAGTTAAGCATCTACTTAGTGAGCTTATCCTTTGATAGACAAGCCCCCCTAAGATAGAAACCTTAAGACTAGAGTTAGGGGTATCTTCATAAACTTCTTTTCCAGCTTCAAAACATCTTCAAACCGGCAATCTTCCTGACCTGCAAAATATAAGAGGGTGGCTTCATCTCTGCAGTAGCTACTGTAGATCTGCCCACAGAAATCTGCACAGCAGATCAGCCGTAGCCTCATCTCTGCTGCCAGTACCAACCAATTCTGTAACCCTCAGAAACTGCCCAGAAAAGCAATCCATCATTGGGTTGCCAATATCTAGCCACAACAAATTGTAATCTGCAGAATCTGCAGATCAACTTTGGAATTGAAGGCAGCTCAGATCTGCATTTCTGCAGATTTCCTAAGTCTGCAGATGATGGGATTCAGCTCCCATCCATAAAACACCTGCACATGAAGAAGAAAAAAGCTTCATTTCTGCAATAAGGCTGTAGATCTGCCCTTCATTAGGATACCCCTTCCTTATGCTCCCTCATGTCTCCAACTCTTTCTTTTCTGTGTCCTTATTCCTTCCTTATAACCCCCTACCTCCCTCAACATATTCCAAGGGCCAAAGAGACCAACCCACCCTCAGGTTCCTTCATTGGGTGGGTTATACTCATCTGGTCTTTCT